GGGGCACAAGGGGGCTACAGTACAGGGCTAGGCAGCAAGCAGCCCCTGTACATTAGCACTCTTGTGCCCCAGCCAGCCCCTGTCACCACTGACCCATGTCTTTCTGCACATGTAATGACTTCATGGTAGGAAAAGTTGGGGAAAGTACTATCCTACAGCGGAGTTAATTAATTTACTGTGCCCTAATACCAGTGCATGCATAGACAATGACACTGTACTGCAGTGCTAATTAGTCAAAGTATACATGTAGATGTACCCAGTGTGGCCTGAGAGAGCATGGAACTAGGACTCAAGAGACCTGAGGTCTATTCCCAAATTGCTGAGCAAGCTTAGGAAGTTTCTTCACCTCCACCATGCCTCAGTTTCCCCATCAGCAAAGTAGGAATAATGATACTGACCTCTTCTATAAAAACACCTCTATGTTCTATGGATTAAAAGCACTATAAAAAGAACTAGATACTAAAACCATTTTTCCTTGACTTTCTGTTCTTTGACTTACAATTCTTAATATTTTCTTTTTAAAAATCATGCCATCAACAAAAACTTTATTTTTCCTACCACAAACAGAACCTACTGTTTGCAGTAATGTTACTGACACAGGTTATATGTCTCTGTTTGTGTAGGCCATAACTAGTAATGCTGCTTTTGTACAAAAAACAATGACGCAGAAAACAGATTATATGGCACTGCACACTCATGGCATTGATACTGATTGATATTGATATATTCCCATATGTTTGTCTCCATCCACAGCTTCAAGCATTAGAAACCACCCCCCTTACCTGATCTCCGTGAAATGCCACACTGAACTAGTAGTAACTGCTGCAGCCCAGTGTCTGCACACTTGGAATGCTGTGTATCTGTCTCGAAGAGACAGGTAGTAAAATATATGGATAAGGATTTCTTCTGGGATGTAATTCCAAAGGTGTGATGTTGGAGCAGGCATCTTTCTCACTCAGCTGGACAATTTTCCACGCTGCAAATAATGTCCTCAAAAAAAGAAAACATAATCGGGATGGAAAAAGATCATTAATTATTTGCCAAATCAAGCCAACCCTTGGATATTTTAATGACAGCACTATTAAAGCTGGTCAGAACATTTTTAATCTTGAAAGGTCAACTAACTGAAATTTGATGGAAAAAGATTTGGGGTAAAATTGAGACAAAATTTTGTCCAATATTTTTCCTCATTTTTTAAACCAAGCATCTTACATTTCTCATGTTGGAAATTTTTCAAGAATTCAGTTTCCAATTTTTTTAGCGCAATGAGAAACATTTGAAAAATGTTTGAATTTTTTTTATTCAATTAGTCCTAAACACTGTAATCACTGTACCCTGGTTAATGAAGATAATTTTTTTACTACCATTTGAATTCAAAACATGGGGAGGGTTTCTTTCTTTTTTCCCGTCTAAGCTCTGGGAGGAAAAAAACAAAACAAATAATCTTGAGAAAAGAGTCTAAGCATGAAAAACAACCTCAAGCATAAATTTTCTGTTGTACATAAAAACAAATAATTAAAATGAAAACATTTGTGACTTTAGCTATAGTGGTTATTAGCTACAGCAGCCGGTAGCTAAGACTTGGCAATCTGGTAAACAGTTATTATTCCTGTGATCATGCTACTCACAAAATTATATGTAAATGTCTTGAATATGGATGTACTTTTCATTTCATTATACTTCTATGAGAATTAAAAGGGAAAAGTATATACATGGAAAGCATTCTGAGACGTACAGCACAAAACATTACATCTTAGCAACATTACTCCTTGTTCCTCACTGGAGTTCACTCTCTACTTATCTTGTATACTTCTGTACAAATAGGACTTTTATTCTTCTCTTTCAAGTTTCTCAAGAACAAATGGGGAGTTTTAAAATGAGACTACTTTAAAATGTGCAGGCTCCTTCCTGCCTAGATCACAGCAGCAGAGTTGATAGTTTTCAGAATTTAATCATCAGATTTGTGACAGTGAGTATTGTTTTCAAATTCCCCAACTCTCGGGGTCATGTTGTGGTACACAAATCTCAGCTTTCCTTTTAAACTTTAAGGGAAATTTCTAGTCTTTATGGTCAGAGACACACCTGAAAAGGCAATCTAAGTACACATCTATGATTTAGAAACTAGGAAGAAAAGAAAAAGGAACTTCAATAAATTTTTTAAAAACATCGTATGATTTAAGACCCAAGTTGTAATATTAAAGGTTTAAGGGTGACAATATTGCAACTACCATTCTAACTAGATATCACATCTGCTTGTGTTCTCCTTTCTCTTCCAAATACTTTCCTACCATTTGTTCAACAATGTATTCTGGCTTCCTCCCTAGCAACATTGTTTTTGCTTTCCCCAGTTACATATTTCTTCCCTGTTGTCTCTGGCAATGCCTTACAATGGTTGCTTTCAGTGCTCTTATTTCCAGCTGTTTTAATAAATTCTCTTGCCATTTTGATTCTTGCTGAAGTATTATATATTATCACCCATCCCATATCCAGCCTCTCGTGTTGCCAGTTCTTCTAACTTAATCCTGAGTGATCATTGTCTCAAAGCTCCAGATCCCAGAGTCTTGTGAAATAGAATCCTTTGATTGTACAAATCAGCTTGCAAACCTTACTTGAGTACATCCTATAAGCTCAGAAACATGAAGGCAAAGGAAGAAAATCCTGAACGTACTCCTTTTCTATAACTACATTATTTGCAGGACTTGATTTCGGGGTGCTTGGCATTGGTGATACTGCTTGCTTACTTCAGTTCAGAGTCTAAAGTGTTAATCGCCAGTTCTCTCCAGGAAGCCTCAGTCTCACTTTTAGATTGGTTCCTGTAAGCCATCAGCCCTACCCAGAGGATTTCCTCATCCCACCAGCCCACATGACTGGTGAGAGGAGCCAGCAACTGTTACATGTCCTGACTGCACTGTAGAACGACAGTGCCTCTCAGACAAGCAAAAAAGCAAATCCCACAGCCAATCAGAGGGACAGAGGAAAGGATAGGGCTAGCCAACCAAGCCAGCAAAAGCATGCACTTTTAGTAGCCAGAGCAGAAGCGTGACGATTTAAAGCTTCTCTGGCCTATCAGATTTCATTGCAGTGTCTCTCCCATCACCAGTTGCTGGCAAGGCTGGAAGTGCAACAAAGGTTATATCTACAGGGACAGAGAGGTGAAGGACCCATCCCAACCACCACCTCCACGCCAGCCCCCAGGAAGCAGCCCAGGGAAAGGCCCTGACAAGTGGAGTCTGTGTAGCTTCCCAGAGAGGCGGTTAGTTGTTATGTTTCCCTGCTCCTAAGAGATTCATATGGTTTCTGGATGTGGCTTTAGTTCCTCCCCTATGAAGCAAGGGAAAGGGAACCCAGCATACCGGTTATAGCAGAACCTTTCTTCCTTTGTGCCTCTCCTCACTGCTGCTCCTGCCAGCCCCTCCAGGGGACTGAGCTCATCTACATCACAGTCCAGGCTGCTACGTTTCAGAGGGTGGAGTGGGGGGAGGAGTTCTGGTAACTATAATGTTTGTCCTCCTTAGGAAAGAAATCCCTTCCCCGTCTCACAGTGAAAGCAAAGCTATTTTTATATCCTTCATGTAAAGAAACTGATTACAGCCTACACCCTTCCCCACTTTGTTTGTCATCACATCCTAAACCTCCAGAAGGAAACAATTTCCCTGTCAGGGCTAAAATGTTAACACTTCACTACAGAAGGCTTCCTATCTACTGTATTGTACTTGGCTGCATCTGCAGTGCTTAGCCCAAACCTGGGTAGACTGAATCCCCCACAGCAAGAAAACTAAGAGTCAGGCATTTTATGTGCTTTCCTAGCTCAGACTCTCTGTGTAATCATGAACAAGTAGCTTCATTCTTACATGACTCAGCTTTCCACTCTATAAAATGGGAGTAATTCAGCAGAGCTGCAGTCATCTGAACCTTCTCGTTTCCATGAGCTGTCCTATCCTTTGCACCCCTGAGTATGAAATACATCTGGTCTTGGGCAAACAGTTCTTTTAACTGGAGTTCTGCTGTAATCCCTGCTTCACAGGTACATCATATAACAATTTGTTGGTAGTGCTGAAATGATGTTGTCGTCATAATGGTCCAGAAAATATGGTTAAAGGATTATAAATGTCCTTTGCTGTACTTCAAGATGGGGTCTAGTGCTGGAGCAGTTAGGGCATCTCACTATGCATGCAGAGGTATGAGTCCCAAACTTTGCTCTGGATTTGTGTTGAAGTCTTCCCCATACACGATCATTCTGCAGAGGAGTCAAAGGCAGCCAATGGCATACTAGTGATATCATTCCCTGTGTGCCACTTGGCACATCTACACGTGCAAAGAATCCGGGAGCAGTTTACTTATCTCCCAGTCCAATTCCTGCGGTCATGGGGCCCAGGCTTGGAGATCCTTATCTCCCAGTCCAGGTCTGTGGTTGCAGAGCTAGCACTGGGAGAGAAGAATCTCTCAGTACTGGCCCCACAACCACAGAGCTGGTGCTGGGAGGTAAGGATCTCCCAGCCCAGGCCCTACAGTCGTGAACCAAGAGCTGGGAGTTCCCTGCTGCTGGGGCAGGAGAGGCATTGTCCCCACCTGGGCTCCAGTGGCAGAGCCTACTATGGCAGCAGACAGCTCCCAGGGGCAAGAAGCGCTATCTTACCCCTTGCTGCCTGGGAGCACATTTGCTCCTGGTCAGGTGTCTACATATGCACTACTGCTCAGTAAGTAATCTTGAGTAAATTTGCTACTTGCATTTCCAGGTAGCAAATTTACTCATGATTAGAGCCAATTACTGCTACTAAGCTGGGACAGAATCACCGCTAGTAAGGCTAGGGACAGAAGTTACTAGTGATCAGAAACTGGTTTAAACCTGTAACAAAATGGGAGCAGCCACATGGGGCCTAGGGGCAGCAGCCAGGATATTACAAGCAGGGAAGCAGCCCTGGAGTCTGCCTGGGTCTGGCCTGGCTGGGGCCACTTCCCTGCTTATAATGCCCTGGCTGCTGCCCCTGGGCCTTTTGCAGCTGTTCCAGGTGCTGCACTCAAGCATGCTGCTTAGCTGGGACAGCCCTGCAGGAGCAGTGGAGCTACTAGGTGGTCAGGTGCAGACTGCCCCAGGTGCTGCAGAGGTCAGCTGGCTCCTCCCAGGGGACCTGCCACTGCTGCTGTTCCCAATCCCACTGAGTTCCACCACTGCTCACAGTGGCTGGCCCTGCTGGCCAGGGTGAGGGTTTAAACCCTTCCCCAATCATACTCAGTGGCTGGCCAGGGCCTGGCCAGGCTCCCCCTGCTCCCCAGTCAGCTTCCTTGAAGTCTTGCACCTGCTGCAGAAGGGAAGGGAGGCTTCTAGCCTGAGCCTGAGCCACTGCAGGCATGTGCCTGCACTTCCAGAATCAAAAGTGAGCGTCTGTTCACTTGCTTCCCAGTTCAATCTACACAGGTTAGATTAACCTGCAAAGATTGAATTGATTCAGGCTCGGGCTTTTTGAATGTCTATATTTAGCCTCAATGTCTGCATGTGTAAATGCAGATGCTTACTGTGCAGTAATTATCATTACTGTGCAGTAAAGTGTCTCATGTAGATGTGACCCCTAGCTACAAATACTGTTGTGCTTAATCAAATTAGCCTGAAGGGCTAGGTCTGTAGCCTTTGTGCTTGTCTGGGCTCTAAAGGAAATCTCCTCCTCTTGTACTTCCCCATTCTTTATTTCAAGCAATCTCTGCAATATTCTCTTCCTCAGAAATTTAGCAAATATACACAGCTAGAGCTGGCTGATAATATTCCATTTTATTCAAACTGATCCTGGACAGAAATTGTGGTACTGATTAACTATTGTTTTTGAAAAGCTTTTCATAGAGAACTTATGATATTTTTTCATCAAAATATGAACCAGCTAAATATATCAACTTGACATTTTTGCCAGAAAACGTCAAATTTTCAAGAGATGAAAACCCTATTTTCAGATGAGCTTACTGACAAACAGCCATGGCTTCTGGACTTCAGTCATTCCTTGAGATATGAGCATAAATCCTGTTAGGCCACTTGAGTTCTGTACAGCCCAGTGCAATTCAGAACAGAAAAGCAATACTGCCAAACTTCACTGATAAAGGAAATTTTAATATCACACTTACCATCTCTGCAGTTAAATATTTATTCTGAACATTTAGCTTCAAGACAGTTTATATGCTGCTTTTGAAACAAAAGGTGCTTATTTATTTAGCAAGAGTAATACATTGCTATTGTTGATCTATTAGATAACGATAAACACATTCAAATCAGCAAGAAGGACGGTCTAGTGATTAGCATGCTGCTTGGCACTCAGCAGGCTCAGGATCAATTTTTAGCTTTGCCACAGTATCTTGTGTGACTATGAACATGAAACTCAATTTTGTGTGCCTCATTTTCCCAGGAGGTACAACAGAGACAACAGTATTTTCCTGCCCTGTAGGAGTGCTGTGGGTTGCTTGGCTATTACAGGTCTGGGGAATAAATACATACTTAAGATGGGATGCACATTAAGCAAACCTTCTTTGGTCATGTACATAGACTGATTTAAATACCCACTACTTCATCTGTACTTTAATGAAAAATATCTGTTAAGTTTTGGAAAACCAGGCAGGGTATTCTTACCAGCTCTCCACGATGCTGTTTTCTGGTCACTAGGAGTGTTCCAAGGTGGCCCTTTGTGCTCTGCTCCCTTCCACTGGCAGCTGTTTTTATAAACGGTTTGCTCAGTCTCAGCTCTTTACTTTTGGCTGGTTTTCTCTTTTTCACTTTGTTCCTGGTCTACATCAGTTGTCAAACTTCCTCCTCCACCTTTCAGAAAGAAGAGATGAGACAACTGAACTGCACCTGATTAATGTCTTCTGTTTCCTTAAAAAAGGGAAGTCTACACACTCCTTCAGCACATGGTTCAGAGTTACAGCATTGCTAAGTGAAATTTCTAGAGAGATATCTGATGTCTTGGATACTTGGTTTTAAATTATATCCAGGGCAAGAGAAGGTATTGGATTGGTGGAATTTCCTGTTCTGGTTAATAAGTTACTAGCCCATGTGATCATGTGTTCTGTTAGCTTTATTGCCTTCTATATTTTTATCTGCCCTAGCAAGTCCAGTGACTTCTGTGAAACACCAGCCTTATATCCAGGACCCACAAGCTTTAGTCACCTAACTCATGGCTGGACTACTTTGAGGCCCTATCTGTAAGAGCACTTAGGTCCCTTTACTACCACTGAGGCCACCAGCCAATGGGAATTGAAGGTCTTCAGCACTTTTTAAGCATAACCCTTCTGCCGGGCACTGGTCGGCAGCAACAAGGGCTGGGTTCAGTTTTGGGGTCTAAGTATATTTTGCCATGGCTTAAGCTCCCACCCAGATCACCTGGGAAACACTAAATAAATTGCTAGGGTGTCCTGCATAATGAACTCCTTCCTTGCAAGCAGTGTAAACACAGAGGATAAACTTATTACAAAAAACAAAGGCAAAGCAAACAAAGAAAAACAATACAATTTAAAAAGTCTACCAACTACAAGGCATAGTTCATAGATTTCACCCTCTTGGGGAGGCTTCACCTGAGGTTTCTTCCCAGGCAGTCTGGGACTTGGGGCTCACCCAAAAGGCAGTTCCAGAGGTTTGCACCCTTATACCTCCCTTTAGCAATGGGCTAGAGAAGGGGGCTTTCACTGGAGAGTGCTTTGAGTTGCTCTTCAGGTTCACTGGGCCACGGAAAGCTGCTAGAGAACTGGGATCCTTCTGTGTTGCAAGAGGCCCTTCGTTGCTCCCTGTGACGCTGTAGGGTCATGGCCCACTTCCATTGGGTGGCCTTGTGGGATTAACTGTGGTTCCAGATAGCATACTGCACCCCTGAATTCCTAGTCACAGTCCCAGCTCTGCTGGGCAGAAACTGCAAGAAGAAAATTTTGAAGGAGAGGTCAGGCCTACCTCACAGGGTCTGAACTGGGCAGCAAAGTCCAGCCAGGCCTATTCTGTACTGAGGCCTGAACATATAGCTGGGGTTCAGCCATGCAGCTATGCTGAAACACCATAGCTATAGAAACAGCAGAAAAAAAGGCCCAGGCTTATGGCTGTGGCCTGGACACCTGGTCTCAGCTATATCCTATGCTGAGACAAAACAATTACAAATCAGAGGGGGCCAGGCCTCTGTAGCCAGTAACTGCCAGAACCCTGGGCAGTTTGCTTCAGTGATTAATATCCCCATGGTGTTAACCCACTTAAGAAAAGATAAGAAAGAGGGAGGAAATATGAGTCTCAAACTCCCAAACAGACTTTTTTCCCTCTACCTGAGGCTTTCCCTTCAAATAGCATTTGCTTGCCTCTCCAGTGAAAGGGGGAGGAGGGCAGAAAAGACCCCCACTCTCCCTTGGAAGCAGGTTTTCTGGCTCCCAGGCTAGGGACAGAAGTTATGCATAAACCAGTTTAAGTGATCAGAAAATGGTTTAAACCTGTAACAGAACATAAGTTCAGTGCGCACATACAATTTAAAAATGGCCAAAACTGGTTTAAGATAAACCTGGCTGAATGTAGTATCAGACTTAACTGATGCGGCTCAAACCAGTTTATGCAACTTCTGTCCCACACCCTTTCCTGATTTAAGTTAAATCACAGTCCCCCAGCATCCCAGTATGCTTTGTAATCCTGGGAGGGGCTGGGCTCTCTGGTCTAGAAAGCAGGGCTAGCCCCACCCCTCTTTTCACCAACCCAAGCAGGGGCAGGAGTATGGCCAGCGGCATGGCCCCCTGAGACAAAGGGAGCAGGGAGGGGGTTTGTCTGCTGGGAGACTGCAGCCCCTGTCAGCCATTCCCTCCTCCCCACTCCGGTGACCATAGAAGGAGAATGGCCAGAACCACTGGCATGGCCCCCGCCATCTACCTGCCTTGCCAGCAGCTGGGGCTGCAGGGATGAGCCTAGCTGGCCTGTGAGTACTGCTGAGGGTGGAGGCAGGCTGGGCTGCCAGGGCCGGGTCCTTCTCAGCCGGCTGCACAGCTCCCCGTGCCCAAGCCAGGAGGGCCTGTCATGGGAAGTGCTCCACAGGGCGAGCCTGAGGGGACAAGTCCTTTCCCAGCCCACTAGGGCTGTGTGACAGCCCAGCCTGGCAGCATGGGCGGGGGTTGGCTGGGGAATGGACTTCCCAGGCCAGCTCCGAGGTGCTGGTGGGCTCAGGCCCAACAGCCGCAGCTGTGAGCTGGCCAGGGCTGGGGAGGTTTTTGTGCCTCTCTCGCCTCCAGCTGCTGCTGCTGCCGTGGCCACACCACATTGCTCTGGGCGGGGGGGGGGGGCAGGAAGCTTCAGCCCCGTGGTTTCTGCCTAGTGTGTAGAGCTCCAGCTCCAGCCTTCAGCATCCTGTGGAAGGCATCTGGGGACTGGAGCTGGAGACCCATCCGCTGGGCAGAAGCCATGGGGCTGAAGCTTCCCATCCCCCCAACCCAGAGTGGTGCGGTGTGGCAGCAACAGGAAGCTGGAGGTGATGGGGGCAGAACAGCCACCCTGACCCCGGCCAGCCTGCAGATGGTTCTGTGCCTGCAGCCCCAGGTACTACACAGGACAGGAGGTGCGGCGGTGGCTGCTGGGCTTGGAGCCCACCAGCGCCTCCAAGCAGGCCCAGGAAGCCAGCTCCCCAGCCAGCCCCCACCTGTGCTGCTGGGCTGGGCTGTCACACACCCCAGTGTCTGGGAAGGGCCCTGTCTCCATGGACCAGCCCTGTGGAGCACTTCCCAGCTGGCTGGGGCTCCATGACAGCCCCACCTGGCTTAGGCATAGGGAACCAGGAGAAGTCTGGCCATACAGCCCCTATGGCCCAGGAACAGTATTTACCAAAAATCAGCATTGCAGTAAAAGTATGTCAATAACCAGTTAGATTTAAAAAAAAAGATTGGAGAATATATGTTTAAAATATATTGACTTAATATAATGAAGCAAAACATAGGGCAGTTTCAAGGCCTTTGAAATGAAAACAGCTTCATAAAATTGATTTTAAAAAAGTTTTCATTTCCTAGACCATGCCTATTTTTATGGCTCTTCAAAGACAGCGTGATTGGACCCAATCTGCACTCTTCTACAGTTGCTTTGTGTGGTCACAGCTACTAGTCTTTTAATCTAGAGTGGTTAGCCCCAGTTTATGGCTCAGTGCAATGATCTTTTTCTTTATTTGCCATGCTGCATGGACAGTAAGCAACTAAGATGCAGTAGCCTTTTAGAAATGCACACTAGATGTTTGAACTTTCCTAGATTCATAGATGTTTGGGTTGGAAGGGACCTCAGTAGATCATCCAGTCCAACCCCCTGGCCTGGGCAGGAAAGAGTGCTGGGGTTAGATGACCTCAGCCAGGTGCATGTCTAGCTTCCTTTTAGTGACCCCCAAGGTAGGGGAGAGCACCACCTCCCTTGGAAGCCCATTCCAGATTCTGGCAACCCTTACCATGAAGAAGTTCTTCCTGATGTCTAATCTAAATCTGCTCTGTCAGTTTGTGGCCATTGTTCCTAGTTATTCCAAGGGGTGCCCTGGTAAACAGAGCATTTCCTATTCCTTGCTGTCCTCCCCCCCAATGAATTTGCAGGCACATTGGAACTGTATTAAGAACCTTCTTTCTTTCATTTTTCTAATTTAGAGGTTTAATGCTATAGAAAGGATTTCCTTGACTTTTCCAACACATTCTCATTCTCCATTTCCTATGGTGAAAAAGTCCTGTTAAAAACAAATCCATAGGTGCAGTGACTGAATTAATCTTTTGTGGGAATGGGCTGATCTGAGAGAAGATGTCATCTGGTGCAAGAGGAAATCAGATCAGAACTTTTGAATATATTCTTGGCCTCCAGTGCCTCACTTGCTGCTCTTGGGCAAGTCACCTAACTGTGCTGTGCCTCCGTTTCTCTCGTTAACCAGGGGCAATATTTGGGTGCCAGAAGACATAGTTGATGCTCACAATGTGGTGCTCATTCAATATGCATGCTAAAAGTGCCAATCTTATATTCTGCATCATCAACCCCCACCCCCTCCTGCCTGCCCCGTTTCTTTCTTTTTATAAACACAAACTCCCAAATTTCCAAGCTGGGAAAATTAAGGTGTAAACCTCTAAGTTTAAAGCTTGCTTTTCTATGTTACTTGGAATATTAAGACTTCTGTCCAGACTATAAAGGGTTACATATAGCTAAATTCAGACCAAGGTAAAGGGAGGGCAAAGGCACTCTCATATCCCTAAAATCCAGTTGATTGGTTTAGTGAGTCAGCTGATGAGAGAAGCCTGTTTTTTTACCAGTTCCTCCTTCCTGTCCCACTGCTAACTTTCTAGTGAGACTTTTATGTACTCAGGACTGGCAGGGGCCTCGACCAATAACATTGATTCCTTGGCCTGAGGGTGGTTCAGCTCTAGCACACAGGAAAACACACTTTCCCAGAAACAGAACTTGCTTTATCTGAGCCTCTGTGACCTACAGGCATGCTAGATTTTACCCCTTTCCTCTCTGCAGTAGCACTTTGCAGGCCTTGCAACTAACTAGCTAACTGGCACTAGGACTACAGCCAGGAAGTTGTGGAGGGCACTGATTTGTAGCCTTCAGCCCCTCCTGTACCTCCTGAGATACCTGTCATTAGAGCCACATGACCAGGAGCCCCCAGTGAACCTCTCTCTCCTGTTCTGCGCAGAGACGGAAGTGCAGGCTTCTCGCAATCGTGAGGAGGGGTGTTTGGAAAAGGTAAATGAACATCACTGATAAGGGGGTGGCTTGCAAGTGGGCTGATGTGACACTATGTGTTCTGTTCGCATCCATCAGGGGCCCTGGTTGCAAGGGGAGACCATCCTGGTCTTTCCTTCTAGTGCCCAGAAAGTTTCAGCATGCCCTACACATCCTCTTGATCTGAAACTTGATGGCTGAGATAACCAATTTGTCATTGCCTTTTGCCAGCATTTAATTTTAAATTATCTCTGTTTTTTGCTGCTAAATCGGAAGTTAAAACAAAAATGCAAAGCAAGCATTTTTTCTATGGTCATGTGCTGTTAAGCTAAGTTAACTTTCTGGACTCGGAAAAAAGTTTCACTTCTGGAAAGGGGATTTTCTGAGCTGTCAGTCCAGTGGGGCGGCTTAGTATTCTTTTCCTTCCTAACAATATGTCACTGATGCCTTTTTTAAATACAGAACCCAGTTTGCTGCTGGTGTAGTCTATGGAGCAGCATTGTTTTACCCCAGCAGAGAATTCTCACATTAAGCGCAAGAGGCAGGCCTTCCCATGTGCTGTATGCACACAGCAGCATGGTTTTTATTGCTTTTTACAAAAAGAAAACAAACAAACAAACAGCCTAACAGTAGAAACTAACAGGCCAGAATCTTGTCATCTTGCAGAACTGGTACTGAAAAAGACCTCTCAAATGTTAATAGATGATAATCCTGATGTGTCTTGTTAATAAGTACCAGATATGATGCTGGATTTAGGAGGTCAGGCCCATACTATAGACCCCAGCTGGCAAAGCCACATCAGTTAGAGGTGGGAAGAGGTGTGGTCCTTGATTATCATAACTGTGTCAGCTGGAGCCCCTAGTATAGAGGCAGCGATATTAGCAAAACTGCAATGACAATGCATTGTTTTAATATAATGGTACAAAATCATACTTTGCTGGTACACGTATTTCTATACCAGTTATAAACATGGCCGGACGCTGACATTTGTTCACCAAGAACTAAATCAGCAGAGGGACCAGCAAAGCATTTTACACTGGCTACTGTATTAAAAAATGAATAATTTAAATCACTGGAAGAATTAGGCCTATTTCCACCTCAGTAATCTAACATATTTGTGCAAATATTCTGCCAAATGTTACTGTTTGTAATAAATCACTCTGCACTGGACTTTCTGGAGTTATAGAACATCTTTCTCCTTTATGAAGCCATGTATTAAAGACAATACGTAATTCAAGATATTTTCACTGGAGATGCTACTAGCCCATTAATTCTCAGCCAGGGTGCCACATGACCCTGGGGTGCTGAGAGATCCTTAAAAGGATGCTGCACAATATTTTAACACTATTAGGTGTGTAAAGATAAAACCATAGATTTCAAAGAGGAATCCATAGTGTTATAAACATTCTGACCTGTTGTGGTCTTTCTGAAGTTTTTGCAACAGAAGAATTGCTCTATTATTTTTCTGTAGTGAAAAAAAAATCAAGTGAAAGCTTAGAGCTGGCATTTTTGAGGGGTGCCCAAGTCTAAAAAAACGTTGAGAACCACTGTACTAGCAAATGAAACACTCTGTCAGCACTTGCTGCTCCTTCCAGGTATTCTGGTACACTGGAGCTCTCACTGCGATTCTGGAAAAAGGCTAGGAGCATTAAACTGGAGGCAAGCTACTAACAGAGCATGCTACAGGGAATATCATGTTGCATAGTAAGGATATTACACCAAGTAAATGTAAATAATACAGTAACATAAGGAGAACTATGGTTATTCTATTTGCATTTTAAATAGAGGTGATCTCATTGTTCTGGGTTTCTTTGACATCTCTTTGTTCTGGGTTTGTTCCATTTTTGGGCCCTTCACTACAGAAAAGATGTGGACAAATTGGAGAGTCCAGCAGAAGGCAACAAAAATGGTTAGGGGGCTTGGGAATATGCCTTATGAGGAGAGGCTGAGGGAATTGGGCTTATTTAGTTTGGAGAATAGAAGACTGAGAGGGGATTCAATAGCAGCTTTCAACTCCCTAAAGAGGGGTTCAAAAGAAGATGGAGCTGGACTGTTCTAAGTGGTGGCAGATGACAGAACAAGGAGCAATGGTTTCAAGTTGCACCAAGGGAAGTTTAGGTTAGATATTAGGGGAAAAAAAACTCTCATGAGGAGGGTAGTAAAGCACTGGAACAAGATACCCAGAGAAGTTGTGGAATCTCCATTCTTGGAGGTTTGTAACACCTGGATAGACAGAACCTTGGCCAGGATGATCCAGTTGGGGATGGTCCTGCTTTGATCAGGGGGATGGACTAGATGACCTCTTAAAGGTCGCTTCCAACCCTAGTTTTCTATGACTATTATATCACCTAGCACAATAGCATTTCTAGATGCTACTGAAGCTACAACTAATATTTAAAATAATTTTTAACATTTGAGATATGATTGAGATTTTGAGATGAGATATGAAAGAAGAAAGAAACTGCAAAATTCAGTGCAAAATCTTGTGATATAACAACAACTCTAAAAGGTCTCTTTTGAGACTGATGGTAGTAGAGAGTGTCAGTAATTAGGAACTATAGTGTCATGCTGACCTCAATATCTGGAAAATTGTTGGAGCAAATGATAAGACATTAAATTTGTAAAGATCTGGAGAATGAAGAGGTGATCACTAGTAGCCAGCATAGACTTCTTAAGAAAAAATATCATGCCAAACAAACCACCTTGATCTTGAGTAACTGATTTGGTGAATAAAGGAAATGCTGTGGGCATAGTATACCTGGACTTTGTCATGTGGGACTATGTCAAAATCCTTGGTATTCTCATTGATAAACTGGAGAAATACAAGGAAATAGAATAACCAGGAAACGGGTGCATAATTGGTTGAATAACTGTAAGCAAAGAGTAACTATTAATGTATCAATGTTGGACTTACAAGAAGTTTTGCAGAGTTCTGGGTCTTATTGTTTAGCATTTTAATTAATAACTCAGACATAGGATCAGAATTCCAGATAACACAAAACTGGGAGGAACTGCAAATACTTTGGAGAACATGATTAACATTCAAAGGCATCTTGATAGAACTGTGTGCTATAACCAGCAAGATAAAAGTCAAAGACAAAGATAAAGTGCAATACATAGGGGAGAGAAGTGAGATGCATAATATAGAATGTGGTATAACTGGTTTGATGAAAAGGATCTGAGACGATAGCTCTCAAACTCACCCTAACTCAGCAATGTGATGCCATCACAAAAAAACAAATCCAATATTGCATTATAGTAATAGAAGCACTGTATGCAAGAGACAGGATGCAATGATACTATTCTACATGACACAAATTGGCTTCAGCTGGAGTACCGTTGTCTAGTTTTGGTTCCATGTTTCAAAAGGCAGAGAGAAACTAGAGAAGATTCATAAGTGAGTGACAAAGATGATAAAGGACATGGAATGCAACTCATATGAAGAAAAGTTAATGGACCTAAGGAAGTTAAGTTTGGATGAAAGATGTTTAAGGGGAAACACAGTAGCAGTTTTCAGATACTGGCTGCCATAAAGATGGAGAAAAATTGTTCTCCTAAGCCAAGGAGGGCAGGACAAAGGGTTTAAAAAACAGGAAAGTAGACTTAGATTGAATTTCAGGAAAAAAATCCTAACTGTAAGAACAGCAGGACAATGAAACAAGCTGGTTAGAGGAAAATGTGGGATCTCCTTCACTGCAGGTTTTTAAGAGGAAGCTAGATGGACATTGTTTGAGTGATTTAGAAGAAGCACATCCTGCATCTGTGTAGGGGGTCAGACTAGAGGACCCAAGGTCCCTTCCAGCCCTATGATTCAGTTTTCATGGATGTGAAAATTCCTGGTTGTGAGGCCAGTGTGGGACTACTTACCTTCTAAGCTGTTTTTGCATGTGATGTGCAATTTCAAGATTCCCTGGCACTTCCTTGTCAGACCAGCTCTTCACCAAGAAGGCTTGAAATCCCAAATTCTTGCTGTCTGGCCTGTAAGTCCTTGGTTCAGTCCCTTGCATGTTGGCCAAGATAACAGCCATCACGCTTAAAACCTAGAAAACAACATGGAGAATGGGATACAGCATCCTATTCAGAGAGAGGAAGTTGATTAACATGGTAGGAAGAGGATGTGTGGAGGGGAAAAGATTGACTGAAGGTGAGGTAGGTGGGCATGTAGACAGGAAGAGAACGTAGGGTCAGGCTTGTGAATGGAGAAGAGGTCTCAAAATAGCTCTAAGTTGTGATGCCATGGAACTGAGGGTTTGAAGGCTGGGAGGGTTTGCTCTTGCTAGGAGTGGTGGGGCTTCCTCAGGCCAGCACAAATTAAAATAGTTAGGCTAATACCTACAAAAAAGAAATACATTCATGCTTCTTGTTTTAGATTACTATGTGATGCAACCTCCCAAGTATCCAAGACCTCAAGTACACGATTAAAGTCTGATAAGGTTTTTTTTTATTTTACCAGGTTCCAATAATTGGAAAATTCAGACCTGCTTGCATCTGCAATAAGTGTTCAGGCCATTTCTGGCTGCAAAATTGTTTCCATTTAACAGGCACATGTTAGGGGAGTATGCCTGGCTGATACCAAGATGTTATCAAGTTTCCTCTCTGCATGGGGTACATATTATGCAACTCTTGACTAAAAAAAAACAAAAAAACCCCAAAACCCTAAAACAAAAATACATTGCTGATGGTTGTGGTTTGTTCTTTATCGGTTATTTTATGCAGGTTGCACCTGGTTTCTGAAGTAGCTGAAGCTTAAACTGTTTACACTTAGGAGAGGATTGTTTTCATGTCATATTTAAGACCTGGCTTTGTTTTTAAGAGTTTCACCAACCATCGTGCTCTACATCATGTCATGATGCCTTTACAGTGTGGCTAACTGGCAAAACCATTACAGAAGGCAGGGTAGTGTGGCGCCTTGTAAACTAACTCAGACAGGTTTTTGGTGGGGAAGCTGAGTGTGTAGAGAGCCAGATCCATCTTCTTCCCTCCATCTGTCCTACCAGGATGGCATCCTGGCTTCAATGAAGTTCATGTCCATTTTGTCCAGTGACTTCAGTGAAACCAAGATTTGACCTTTGGGATTTTTTACTGGGTGGAAAGAAGCCAAGTTTAAGCAGTTCTTGGGATCCTGATTAGAATCCTGATTGGTGAGCCCTCAGCAGGTTCTCAGCTTTAAATTCAGAGATTTGCTGGACTAAAAACTGACCCATTAGTGGGACTTTAATGTTGGGTTTCTTTGAGCCACTGTTTTCCTGGGGAACAATGCTGTAACACTGTTTACAAAAATACCATGTTTTCTAGTGTATAAGCAACAAGTTCTGTGTCTGAAAAAGGTCTAAAATTAAGGTGCATCCCATACTATTACCAAGGTACTGAAAATTATGGAAAACATCTTAATAAGAGATGGTCAAACTTCAATTTATCTTAAAAACGTGTATCCCCAAAATTTTATCCTTTTGAGGAGTGTGAAGGGCATCTTATACACAGATGTATCTTATCCATTAGAAACTACAGTAATAATAATCAGTATCACTAATACAGTGTTTTTCACACACAGAGAAGAGCAAGTCCATATAAAAAGGCAACAAAATAGCGCCCAACAAGCTTGTAGTAGTGTTTTCTGTGCTTACCCCATATCAGAGCTGCCTTCAAAGTGGACCAGGCTCACAGCTCACCTACATGGTGTTTTAGGTTCAGAGGATGGCCAGCAGCTCTGAAGTCTGGATTGGCAGTGCTTATTTATTCCTTCAGTCTAAGAAGATTGTTCTGCCCTCTCTTTATGGAAGCTCCCAACAGAAACCCAAGGTGTTCCACGCCCTCAAGTTGGCATTAGCAGGTATGTATCTCATTTTGCTTATCACTACACTGAATACAACTGGGAATGCTAATCCTGTTTCTGCTGTTGTCCTTTGATTTCTTTAATTGCTACATGAATGTGATGCCTGTCAAAATGCGATTGATCTGTAACACCAAACAATTTTCAGGAGTCAAAGTGATCTACTCTAATTTCATTAGTCACATTCTATACATTTGTGTTAATCTTGATTTTAGTCTCAGGGATTTTACAGAGAGATTCAATCCAAGATGTCAATTTGAGTCCCAAGTCATTCAAAATACCTGCAACTTGTGGATGAACAATGATCCACTAAGAAGATAACTTCTCTTTTCTCCTTTTCACTACAACACAAGATAAATATTTAAGTTATACAGAAGGCAGTGAAATGGTGTAGTTACATTTTAGTTCTACACTGATAGCATGAGATCTTGCATTACATTAATTCAGACCTTAAACCAGATTGTATGCTCTCTTGTCAGATGATTTAGTTCCATAATAGTTTAAACATTCACATACAACACTTTCTTTCCTCCAACATCAAAATCTTGTGCAATCCTTTTCTTTGTTAGTAGTGCTTGTAAGCTTGGAGGAAAAGATAGTAAAAAGTTGAGAAAGACTGTAATAAAAATAGAATGATTTAATGTTACAGTTTGATTCTGGCTTAGAGGTCAGAAACTTCTGGCTCCTACTCTTATGTTCAGACCATGCTTCCTTCTTAGGCTGCCAAATCAAAATGCAAAACCTGAATTCAAAAGCAAGATGTATATTGAAACTAACACATTCTCAAAGAGTAACCTCCTGTATTTGTACCCCCCTGCTCATTTAGTCATTGAGCCCCATTTCTGACATGGGGAAAAGGATGCCCTTTTGGACAGGAAATTTTTTTTTTGCATTTGCTACCCATGAGGGAACACAGTTTCCTTTTTTTTTGGATGAGCACATTTTTAAAACTCATACTTCACAGAATTGTCTGAGCATATTCTGGGCATTGTTTTTGGTATTGTAGTAGCAGAAATAAGATTGAAGATTCATTCCCATTGCATTACGCTTGTGCACGTACAGGGTAAGAGACAGTCTGTGCCACAGAAAGTTTACAGTCTAAATCAGGGGCAGGCAGTTATTTCAGCTGGAGAGCTGTTTAATGAGTTTTGGTGAGCTGTTGAGGGCTCCAAGGGTAGCCACACCCCTTGACAGGTGCCCTACTCCCTGGTTGGCATCTTGGAACCAGAAGTCCCACCTCCTAACTCCTGACCTTTGCCACTGGAAGTCCCTCCCCTTGCCCCAGAAGTACTCCTTTTGGGAAGGGGCTTTGTCATCTTGGAACTGGAACTGCCCCCCCATTATATACTAAAAATCAAAAATTGACAATAACATATTTTAATTTTATTTTAAAAATATATTTTGTCCTGATTTGTGTGTGTTTGTGTTGCATATATAGAGGTGATTGCATAATAGCTCAAAATGAAATCTTACTCTTGTATATTGTGGGGGGTGTGGAGGGTTATGGGTGGGTAGGTATGGGATTTGTGGGGGGCTGTGGATGTGTGTGGATGTGGCATATGGGGAGGGTGTGGGGATGTATGGATTTG